AGCTCCTTGACATCCTTTGGAACAGAAACATCAACTAGTGGTACCCTATCCCATAGTGCAGTTGTTTCTGCCTTCACACAGGATTCAAAATCTGTAAAACACAGTTATCTCAAGGTGGTTCAAGCCCTCAGTTAGATCCTCTGAGAAAAAGCCCTACCATAGAACAAGCAGTACAGACCGCCCTGGCCCACTTACCTGCTCCAGCACCTGTTAGGAGAAGAAGCTCTGTATCAACCAGGACTTTACCATCTCCAGTATGAGCCAAAGAGCAATAGAGAATCAAGAGCACAGGCGAGCTGAAGTACACAAAGTTTCAAGACCAGAAAATGAGCAACTCAGAAATGATAGTAAAAGACAAATAGTTCCAGGTGCTCTTTCAGCTCCAAGGAGAGGGCATGGGGGTCATTGAGATGGCAGGGGATGATCTGGTATTCAATGAGATGGTCCTATAAATCTGAGACTTTGACTTTAAAAGTGCAAATGCACAATTTAACAAGGAGGAAATTGACATCAAGTTTCATAGTAAACTTAAATTGAAAGTGGAAAATAAACTTGAGAATCAGGAGAAATCTGTAAATGGTGAAGATAAGGAGACTTGGGAGCTGATACTTAAAAGAGTGAAGGAAATGATGATGATGAAGATCCATTTGGACCTAATTTTGATATTATGACAAAAGTAAATCCTTCTTTGATAATATTTCTTGTGCTGATAATAAAGAACGGAGAACAACCTGGGCTGAAGAAAGAAAATTAAATGCTGAAACATTTACAATCCCACATTGTCCAAACCGTGGCCATGAGGGGTACAGAGGTAGAGGTGGTCTTGGTTTCCATGGTGGCCAACGGCATGGTGGTGGCAGAGGTGGTACCTTCACCCCTCGAGGATTTTGTGGTGGATTCAGAGGAGGTCATGGTGGCAGGGAGTTTGAAGATTTTGAATATAGGAAAGACAAAAAAGTTGCTGCATAGTCTACAAACAAGTCTTTAAAAATAGGTGAATTTCTAACTCTTCATGGTCCTGAGAACTGGTTTCAGTCTTTACCAAGAATGAAAAAGTGAATTCACTGTATATCTGTCACCAGCACTGGGTTTGTTTGTTTGTTTGTTTTTCTGCTTAATTTCAAAGATAAGATACCGTTATATTGGGTAGGGTGGGGGCAGCTCATCTTTAAAAATGAGCATTAAAAATATTTGAAATAGCAGAAGGTTAAGTAATTTCTTATATCTAGTTAAACCAAAGCAGTACTTCAGTGGGACTTATAAGTAGTTTTCATCACTGAAAGGATTTTTCTTACCACTTAATTGTTTTTGGCAGTTTTTGCAAGTTGCCTGCCAATAGGGCTGTGATGCCGTGTTCCAAGCCACAGAAGAAGGTATGTGTATGTGTGCATGCACATACTCATGTGTCTTTTGCCCTTCCTTTTTGGAAATCCTGTAATATCCCTTTTGAAGTAGCTTATTTTTTCAGTTAATTAGGGTGCTGGAGAATTTTGTCAGTCAACTGTATACACACAGTAAGTATTGTTTCTTAGGCAAAGGTAACTTTTTTATATAGTTGCAAAATTCCATTGCCAAAGAAACATTAAGAACTTTGTATAGCTGTATAAAAAGCAACTAATATTTTAAAAAATAAACATTTTAAAGTCAGCAAACATACTGTGTCCTTGCAGAAGTTGTGCTGAGGAGCAGAGCTGTGGGTAGGTCTTTTTTCATAGCTTTCCAAGATTAACATTTATTTTTATTTTCTTTTTTAATGTTTGGAACACAAATGAAGATTTGATACATTCTTCTGTTATCTAAAAAAGGATAAATCACTCATGCTCATCGCTAAGAACTTCATTTTATAGTAAATGGCATATAAAAGGATTTGTCCAAGTCATAGATATTTTTAGTATATGAATGTAAATAATCATAGATAAGAATTACTTAGCTATATTTTCAAATAAGTAACTCCCCTTTTAAGACATTAAGTAAAACTAGGCATTGATTTAAAAAAAAAAAAAAAAAAAGGCACAGACTACTTGGTAGCCTGCTCATCTCAATTTGACCTCCTATCAACCATTACTTTGTCAAATCAGATACTGACCCTCCTAGTGGCACAATCCTTCAGGGAAATACGCAATCCAGATTTGGAGCTTTACAGTTACTTCAGATGCAAAAAGGCCCTTCCTTGCCTTTAAATTGTGCTTGTTACTGTTCATTATTCCCACAGCAATATCTAAGTTTTATTCCTCAACTCTGCTAAGTAACTGTGAAGCAAATCTCTGTATTGCTTACTGACCTAATTGCTTTATTTAAAACAAAGGGAAAAAAAGCCCTCCTCACCATGACTTTAGAAGACACAGAGTCATTCATTGGGTTTGGTTTTCTACGTCTTTCCTTCCACCAGAAACAGATCAGACTGGGCCCATATCAATGATTCAACAACAAAAAACCCAAACAAACAATAAAAAAAACCCCACCATATTACTCTATAAAAATATTACATCATATAATGTTTGCTTTCATATTCAGTTTTTAATTTTCCAATTTTTATACCCTGTTCTATTGCTGACACAAACTACTTTTAGTATTTAATGAGGTTATCATATTAAAAACAGAAGACTGGAAGCAAAGCATATACTGGGCAAGGACTCTAAGTTGTACACAACAGAAATGGGCACTGACTGATCTAAGCAGAAAAACAATGCACTGAAAAGAGTTTGAGCACCTCACAGAACTTCCAGAAAGAATGCAGAACAACACAAGGGAAACAGCAGATACAAGAGAGCAGCGAGGAGCACAGCAAAAGACATACTACAAACCCAAACTGGTGAAGACCCAGGGAGTTCCAGCTCTTCACCACTACCTCCTGAAATTCATTTTGCTAAGGCTGCAGCCACTGTCATCACCAAGGACCAGATTCTCAGGGGTATGCTTCTTTGCAATCACTAGCTCCTGATTTAGTCTAACAGGCTGAATTCTGGCCAAGTTCAGACCTTAGCTGTTAGGAAGGCTAGGAAAGTGATAATGTGGTTTTTTTTCCCCCCAGTTTCTACCAAGGGCTCTATCACCCATATTCACAAAAGGAGGAATTCTCCCACCATAGAAAGGAGTTTCAGGGGGAAAAGACAATTAAGAGGTGGGTTTTTTTATCCTCACCTGAGGACATTTTTCCATTTTTTTGTTCAGAGAGTAGAAGGGGAAGAGAGAGAGAAACATCGATGTAAAAGGGACACATCGAGTGGCCACACGACCCAACCAGGGCCGGGGACAAACTGCAACCGGGGTACATGCCCTTAGCGGGAACGAAACCCGGATCTCTCGGGACCGCAGGCGACAAAGAGGTGGTTTGTTTGTTTCTATAATCAAGACTATTTGGTAGTTTCTCATCATCAGAATATTCAGGAGAAAATGAAAATATTTTAGAATTTCTCCAATTACCTCCAAATTTAACACTCTACTTCATAGGGACAACCCAGGCTCAACAACATTGTCACATATTGGACCAATACCATATGCTAACAAACTATTCATAAACTACTTCACACTGAAAGTAGAAACAGACCCCAGATTCAATATTTTCTCTTTTCTACAGTGTTCCTCAATTAGATAGCTCTTCACCTAAGCTGAATTCTGCTGTTTAAACATTTCTCTCATCTGGAACAACAACAAACAAAAAATCCAAAAAGATCCCTGAAAACCTAAACCAGATATCACCAAATCTATTCTTTAGTAAGAGCAGATTTCTACCCCAAACAACAAAGCAAAACTCAAATAAGCTTGACTCTTTCTCAGAGCCCATTTGCTCCTATATTACTTGTACTCTTCCGCTTCATGGCTTTTTCCAGCTCATTATATGTTAGAAGCTGGAGGGGAAGGGAAGGAAAAATGACAAGAAGAAGACAAAATTTACAAAAAGCAAATAAATAGAACTAAGAAAAAAAGCAACAATATTCCTCTTTCTAAAGGATGGAAGCAGACAAGAGAACGGGTGACTGTGGCCAGACCTCTGGGCAGCAGGAGAAAAGAAAAAGAGAAGAACCAGAGAGCCTCTAGGCACACCAAGTAAAGTACCTCACTCTCGGGCACTAGGGAGTGACAGAGATACTTTAAGAAGGTTCTAGAAACAGAGAGACTGCGATTTCCTTTTCTGTGGACTACATGGATTATATACAACGGACTATTGTTGCTGAACTTCTTTGATAAATGCCACCCCCATTCCTCTATATTCTCCGGGTGGGTGTCACAGCTGAGAATCACTGTAACCTCCGAACCTCCTCCAACTAAGATTTTCCCTAGCTTTAAATTCTGTATTTTGTGTTGTTTTAAAAAGACTTTTTTGTTTTGTTTTCAAACATGAATTGTAATATTCATAAGCGTGTTCAAACATCCCACCTCCTTCCTAACCTTCGCTTCCATCCTCCATGAGAAGAGCGGGGCAGAGGAGCCCCAAAGTTGAAAGTGCCGGATTTCGAGTACTAATCCCACAAAACAGGTTCCTGTGGAAAGCCTCACTCCTCTCCGGTGGGACCAGTCCTCTCCCGACCGTCGAGGATGCCCTACAACATCCACTGTATTACTGGGAGTGAGCGTCTCCACCGAGTCTTAACCTTTGGCGGCCGCCCGCCTGGTTCCTAAAAGACCCCACTTCCCACGCACCGAGAAAACGAATTCCTTTTTGCCCCACCACCGGCCGCACGGCCCCGCCTCCCACGGCCTCACCTGCAGGCGTCCCAGGTACCGCCGCCTCTACCCCCACGGCACCGCCCACTTTCCGCTTCGGGCCGCGGAGAACTAGGCCAGGGAATCTTGGAGCCGGTCCCAAGTCACGTGGCACCACGGTCACGTGCCGGCCGGGGTCACGCACCCGATTCCAGGTCAAGCGCAAACGGAGCGCTGGGCGCGGGAAGGACACCGCACTTGCAGGAGCATGGCCGCCTTCACCCGCCCACTCTCGCGAGATCTGTGAGGTCACGTGACGGCGTGGGTGCGGCGCGGCTTCACGTGACGGGCGCTGCCGGCCGCGGGGTCTCTTTCCTGCCGCGGGCGGTACAGCTGCTGGGCCTCTAGACCGCGGGATCGGCCACTCTCACGGCGGCCCGTAGCCCTTCACCAGCACCCTCCCTCCGGCTGCCCAACCACCCGACCCCTCCCGGCTCCCCCTCCGGTGAACCTGGTGCCCATGGCGGCCCCCGGTGGCGCCCGGCGGCAGCCGCTGCTCCTGCTGTTACTCGGTGAGGGTCGGGCCCGGAGCGGGGGTCTGCGGGGAAGGATGTGCACTACTAAGGGTCTGGGGGCTGCGTGGTGGAGCTCGGGGGCATGGGAGGTCTGCGGGGAGGGTGTGTCCGGGGGTGGGGAGGACTACTCTGGGTCCGGGGGCTACAGAGTCCGGGAGCTGCGGCTGGGCTCGGGCGAGGGCGGGCCCACGAGTCGTCCCCGCACACCCCGAGGTCCGCGCGTGGGATCCGGCTGGAGCCTAATGGCCGCTCATTGGGGTGTCGGGTCCAGTTGCCGAGAAGTGGACGAGGGAGGGCCAAGGTTCTCAGATGAGAGTCTGGTTCCGCCCTCGGGTCACTAAACTAGTTTTCTGGGATGTTAGGTTGGAAATGACTTGGTGGCTTTGGTGGTTTCTGGCAAGTGTGCTTTGTTTTGTTTCTTCCACTTACGGGCAAGTGGGCCACGGAGGTCCAGGTGAGGCTGTGGGGCTCGAGACGCCAGGACCTGCGCGGTCCTTCGCTGCTCCCAGCGGGTGACCCACCTGGCGCTTCTGCAACATGGATCTTAACCAGGGTGGCGTGGTGATCCCGGCCTTTTAGAGTTCGTCCTTGGTGCTTTAACCTTCGCTTATTTTGCAGTATGGCGTGCAGTGTTTATATGTTACTGTGAATTTAATTTTGTGTTGAATGACTTGAAGTTATCTTTAAGAGTTTAGGAGAGCCCATGGTGGACAAAATGAGAGAGAACCAGGCCTCAGCTTCTTAATGGCAGTATTCATTTTTAGTGAATCCTTGTAAAGAGCTGCTGCCACTGTTATGTATGTGCTGGCTCCCTTGAGTCAAAATGAGGGACACCGTTAACACGTTGGGAAGCATCTGGCACTCCACCAGTCTGTAGAATTCATAAAAGCAGTCAGTGGGTGCTCAGTATTTTATTGATTGAGGGATTTTGTTTTCATATTTCTGTGCTAATAAGAAAGAGGAATGAATATGTGCTGTCTCTTAAATGGGCTACATGTTGATTTTAAGTCTGTTTAGAGGCTGTCCATGGCACCCTTTCTCACCCTTCTCCCAAATTATATGGGAAGATTTATGTAAGTGGCAAGATAAAAAATATGACGGGAATTCTGTGAGTTAAATAGATACAGATACACATTTCCATACTTCCCACAAATTTCTTTAAACATTTCTTAAGTCTCATCCTACTCTAAAATTCTGTTATTGTGACTAAATACATTTTAGTTTCAAGTTTTTGTTTTGCCTGTTATGTAAAATTAGTTCTTTGAGCTGCATGAATAGCCACAAGAGATGACCTTATTCCAGCAGTAAACCCGAAGCCTTGCCCTTCACTAGCAGGTGTTACAAGAGGAGTTGCTGGAATAAGTTTTGTCGTGTCAGAACGGCTGCATTGTCCTTTATTAGAAGAGCTCACAATCACTAGGTTGTGAGTATGTTGTTGCATGTTCTAAAAACTCACCTTAAAAATGAAGAGGAGCCCCGCCTGTGTGGCTTGGTGGTTGAGAATCGACCCATGCACCAAGAGGGTGCCGGTTCCATTCCCGGTCAGGTTACATGCCCAGGTTGTGGGCCCAGGCCTCATTGGAGAACATGCAGGAGGGCCAGTCGATATTCTCTCTCATTGATGTTTCTATCTCTCTCTCCCTCTCCCTTCTTCTCTGTAAAATCAGTAAAGAAAAAAAATGTTTTTAATGAAGAGGAAAAGTCCATAATTTCCCTATATTGTAATAACTTGCGAGTATTGTGCTTGTAATTAGCTTTTTAATGCCCACTACATCATATCTTTTAAGTTTTATATTCAATTAAAATCTCAGCTTTTAGAAAAGGTCTATTAACTTGGATTTAGTTCTATTTAAAATAATATTTATTTTAATGCACAATTTCACCAAAAAGCATATTTTCTAAAAATATAACAGACTTCTAAATTACTAATTCCTCCTGCATTAATGATTAGAAACTACTTATGCCTTCTTTTGTGTTTGAATACTTGGTAGAAAGCATAGATAAGCATGAACTGAAACTTTTTGATACACTGTCAAACCTAGGTTCTTGAATGTCTCCCATCTCAAACAGTTCGGTTCTAGACCAAGTTGTTAACTGAAAAAATGTCAATTAGCTTTTTGGTTCTTGAAGACCTGACAACCCTTTCATGCTGATATATCAGCAAGACAAAAAGCATCTCTCAGGCCACAAACTACGGAGGTAATGGGACAGGATGAGTCCGATTGTAGCTAAATCTTGCCTTGTTAACTTCTCAGGAAACTGCTGTGAATATTTTTGTTTGTTTGCTTTTTTTGTTGATGGCAGAATGGATCATTAGCACAATTTTAAAGGCAAGAGAAGGCTATCAGGTGTGCTAAGGGTGTGAAAGAAACAATGATCACAGGCAATTGAAGAGGTATAAAAACTGTTGTTGATTTGGATAAACAAAAAGTAGTTAGCTGGTAGCAGCATTTCTGAGGCAGTGATAGTGAAAAACCTACGATGCTGCATACTAGAAAGATCCCTGGCACCAGTGTTGAAAATGACTCCTTTAAGGCTAGTTAGGGGGTGGTTTGATAAATTTAAGAAAAGAAATGTTTATTTATAGATCAAACAGTACATTAGACATGTACTGTATAAAAGAAAGTTTAGAACTGGGAATCTTTTGGAGGGTCTGAAACAAATTAATTCAATTTACATTATTTCTAATGGGGAAAAATGATTCAGTTTTTTAACAGATCCGTTCTCGAACAGACTTCTAGAACGAAATAAATTTGAGAACCAAGGTTCCACTGTATAAGATTAAGTGTGATTCTTTAAACCATTGATGTCAACTAGATGGCTTTCTTTCCCTTACCAAATGAAGAACTGTCACTTAGGAAGTTTTAAAAGATTTGTGCTAATTGATTTTACCCTTGCTTGTGGGAGTTTGTCAGTTGCCCCAGGTTTGCAGCCAAATTCTTCAGTAGATTTCAAATCAAAATGTTGCAGTTTCATAATTTTGAATTTGCATTGTTAGTCCCATCCTAGGCAGTATTAATTCTCCCTCTGTCTGCGTCCACAGAACTTAACTACATGCTACAGCATGTGCTTTTACTAGAGCGTCGATTCAGCTGAGTTGTGATTTTTACACATGTATTCGCTTCCCCATCTTATAGCCCAGCTCATGCTTCACACATTGTAAGTAGTGCTCAGTACATACTCATGTCCTGCCTCTACAGTTCATTTCACAAGCGAGTGTTTCATAATTTAGAGAATATTTGCTTGCTCACCGAGTGCTGGAGAGAAAGCATGGTTCAGCCACGGCACTCACCCTGCTGCCAGCCTGTGCTAGCATGAGTAGGACGTGCTCGGAGTCAGCAGACCTGGCTCTACCACTCACCAGCTGTGTGACCTTGCACAAGTTAGTTAACATCTCTCTGCCTTAGTTTCTACATCTTAAAGGAGAGTCATAATGCTGTCTATCAATTAAAATCGTCATGATAATTTAATGAACAGCAATGTGCTTGGAGCTCTAATTGGCACAAAGCAAGTGCTTGTTAAATAAAATACTTGACATTTTGTGTCAGGTACTGAGGATTCAGTGATGAACTTGATAGATGAGGTCTGTGTAGCACTAAATATTTAAGTTATAATGGCTAATATTATAAGCATTGCTGATGCCCTATAATGAATGATCTGCATACTTTGGCTCATATGATGTTCTAATGATCCTGAGGTGTCAGCACTCTTATTTCTATTTCACAGGTGTTTAAACCAAGGGTTTGGTAGTTGCTACTGGCCCAGGGTCACACAGCTAGTAAGTAGTGGGGGCGTCCATCATAGAACCAAGATCTCTTACCTCTCAAGCAGGCATGTTTTCTGTAGGTGTACTTGTTTTAGAGAATGGAATTTCTACAGATAGGAGTATTTTAAAGGAGTAAAACAAAGTTACTTCTTTATATGATCCCTGGAGAAATTATCCAGTTCTCATCTGATTGAAGGGATGCTAGAGATTAGCAGTTGCCAGTGGGCCAGGGAGCTGACTTTTGAGAAGGACACCCCTCAAATAACTGTAACTAACTTGAGAAGGGTCTTTTTTCCCCCACCAACTGCTACTTGTTACAAAATTAAAAAACAAAACAAAAACTTAATGATCATTAACATATATACTCTCTCAGAATTCTATGTTCTAATGCTCCTGTAGACATTCTGGGGTAAGTTCCTTGTTTTAATAATTGAACATTTCTGGGCCTCTCCAGAAGAATGTGGGTATTTAGTGCTGCTAAAGCTTATATTGTTTTAATAGTACTTTGTTTTTCTTTGAAAGCTCAGGCCTTCAACCTATTTACTAAATGAAAAAAATTATATGATTGAAAGTTACTTAATGTAAAATGTTTCCTAATGAAAGGCTTTGAGTCAGTATAAACTTTTTTTAATGAATCGGGGAACTGTGTTATCAAAGGGCTGCTTGATGAGAACTGACCTGTGTATATGCTCCCATGGGAGACAGTGACCTGCTGTGTCCATGACACACGTGATCACATGTGACCAACCCTCTAGCAGAAGGGCCAGGGCTAGGTAAGAGTTTCAGGCCTAAGGAAGCCTATAAACAAGGCAGCAAGTGGCCCATGTACACAATTAATTGGGTCATTGTCCAGTGTCGCTGGCTTCATTGCCCATGCTTTTAACACATGCTTTTGCTTCTACCTGCTGGCCCTGCTTTTCTCTCTGGTTTATTTACCCATCCTCTCAGAAATCATGTGTATTTTAAAATCTTTACTGTGTCCAAAACCAGTTATGGAATAATTTTCTCTAAGTGTTTTAAATGAAATATTTAATTTATTGAAAATGCTTTTAGAGTAATTGTACCTGAATATTCCAGAGGTGAATTAAAAATGTGCAAATCAAAACAGACAAAAAATTGCACAGGTTTCCTTGTTTGCCATAGTTTACTTCATTTTGGTGTAGCGACATTTCTTTTTGCGCATAGATTTTGGTATATCCGTTACCAGAGGCTTACCGAAAGATAGGTGAGGCTTCTGGCTATACTCTGCTTTAGGCTTCAGTTGTTCGCTCTAATGATATTATTTTATGGAAGTCTCAAGGGTAAAATGAATTGGTTTCATTGGAAACATTTATTTTGTCTGGGACAAGGGTTTTATAATGAAAAGTTGAGTGTCCTCTGAGCATGCTGCCTTCAGAGTGTGCCTGAGTCATATTTACACTTAGAGTGATCAGAGCCAGATGTGTAAATGCTTGTTTGGTAAAGGGCGTGCAGGAGCTTGTAGCAGCAGAGACAGGGAAGGGTTGGGGAGGGCACACCACTTCTACACGTTACAGTACACTGTGATGGCTGACAGCTCTTTGGCTTTAGAACTAGTGAAGATACTTATTTTTGCCCATCTATGAAAGAACAATGTACTAATATGTACTGCTTGTAAAATTACCTACTTCTCTACCAAACCATTTCAGATTACATTTTGCTACCAAACTACTTGAATCAGGATGGTGGGATATGAAGAAGCCAGAGATGGCACTGGTCCTGAGAACTTACTTAAAGAGATATATTTAGCAATGATCACTCTCAAGCTAGAAAAACCCATGAAAGTTTCACTCTCCCTTGCCCCTGGCATATGGAGGCCCTATCTAGACAGATTTGACTGAAGTCCTAAGGTTACACAGCCAAGTCCAGATTAAATTGAATTACTGTTTTTGAGGACCTTTCTGAAATTGGGCAAAGATCGTTGAGTCCATGACTTCACACCACCAGTCCATGAGAGAGAAAAACAGATCTAACTGGATTGGCTCAGTGGTCAGAGCATCGGCCAGCGGACCAAAGAGTCTCAGGTTCGATTCTGGTCAAGGCCATGTACTTTGGTTGTGGTTCAGTCCCAGGCCCTGGTTGGGGTCATGTGGGAGGCAACCAATTGATGTATCTCTCTCACATCAATGTTTCTCACCCTCCCTCCCTCTTTCTCCCTCTCACTCTATCTGAAGATGAATGAAAAAATATCCTCCAGTGAGGATTTAAAAAAAAACAAAACGATATAACTTTAAATAGTAGTTTAGATCCACAGTGAAAGATACCACCAGCTCTTCCATGGAATTCTGTAGAGAGTCAGTTAGGTTGAGTTGTACCTCCAGGACCCCATAGAGTTTCATGAAGAACCAGTGTGGAGCACTTATGCCCTGGGGTACCCAGAAATTAACATGTGACTTCCTGATAAGTATTCTGAGGTAAAATCCATTATTGCTAGAGTTGAAGACAACAGAAATACCCAAAGTATTTTCAAAAAAGTGTTTTGTAATTTTTGTCTTTCCTAGAGTTAGCAGGTCTCATGCATGGTGCATCAGCAGTGTTTGTGGTGCAAGATGGCAACAAAACAGCTTGTATAATGGCCAACTTCTCTGCTGACTTCTTGACCAACTATATTACCAAGACTGGCCCTAAGGTAGGAAATACTACATTGTGTACGTGTGTGCATTTGTGTGTATTTGCACACAGGAGAGATTTTTTAAAATTTTCAAATGTTTGAAAAATGATCCCACCTTAACACAGTTCTCTTGATGTATGTATAGTTCCTTCTCAGCTTATTAGTAGCCTGTGCTGTTTTATATATGGAAGTTGCAGTCATAATATACAAACTGTTTTGTTCTATGCTTTCACAATTTTACTGTGAGCATTTTTTTTTCCAGTTTTTGTGATCTTTTGTTTTTGTTATACTGTTGTTGTTGTTTTTTTAATCTTCACCCGAGGACACTTTTTCACTTGATTTTCAGATAGGGTAGGGGGGGTGAAGGGGGGAGGGAGGAACATCATGTGAGAAAAACATACTGATTGGTATGCTTTTACATGACCCCAACCAGGGCCGGAGATCGAACCACAACCAAGGTACATGTCCTTGTAATACTCCATTATGTTAAATCAGCCTAATTTGTTAAACCATCCATCTATTGGTAGTTAAGTGTTTTTATATTATTTTTCATGCCCAGTGTACAGCACTGTGAATATGGTTTTATTGACCTATTGAACTTTGTATAAACTTTTATGCCCCCAAAATTGTTTATAAACAGTTGATGTGCAGTGCTATAACCACTGTTTGATTAAAATGTTTTTAGTTGTTTTGTTAAAACGACTCTGTACTTCTACAGTATGAGTAAGGCTCTTGCAATTCCTAAATTTCTAACAAACAAGCAGCATTTGTTTGTATTTCTTTCTTTGTTGATTACCTATTAATGGACATTTTACTTGTTCTATTTAACATGCACACTTTTTTTTATATATCTCTAATTCAAATTGTATTTTCAGTTCCTTGTTGGAACCACTATTTTTCCTTATCTCCATTTTGATAGCATCATTTCTACTACTACTCAAAGGGCAGTAATGCGGCCCAGGGTTGCTGGGTAGATCAGCAGTTTCTGTAGAGCACTCTGGACTTTGTACCAGCTGCTCGACCTCATTAATTCATTTTTACTGGTCTAGATGCAAATGTGGTCTGTCAAAATAGAAGAAAACTGGGAGGGTTTGTTCTATAGAAATGTCTTAAATTCTAAAGACTTGTCAAAGCACCTTTTATTTTAATTTTTATTCACTTTTTTTGCTTGGATTTTTAAAATATTCTTTTGTTTTATATATATATATACACACACACATACACATATATTGTTATGCAAATAGATCATCCATGTGCTGTTCTGTACCTTACTATTTCACAAAGTGTGTCTTTGTAACCTCATGTAGTTCTGTCATTTTTTTAAGACCTCATTAGTGTACAGCTTATAGTTCTTTTAGTCCACTTTAATTTGATGGACATTAGGTTGTTTTCTAGTTGTTTGGGTTGTATATAATAGTAAATTTGAACAATTCTGACCAGTGCAAATGCCTTTTCTTTGTTTAAAGACGTATTCTTGAAACAAACATTTCTGTAGCAAACAAGTAGCAATAGCCTTTTTCAAATAAAAATGAACACCTTATCCTGAAGCCCAATATGAATTATTTGAGTTTACCAAGATAACACTAGTTTTAATTCTGTTCTGTTAGAAATTAAAATATTAATCAAGAATTTGTAATTACATGAAAAATTAAGTCAACTTTATCTTACACTTGAATTAAATTAAAAAAAAATTTTTAATCCTCACCTAGGGGTGTGTTTTTATTAATCTTTAAAGAAAGAGGAAGTGGGGGAGAAAGATAAACATTGATCTGAGAAAGAAACATTGATCTTTTGTCTTCTGTACCTGTCCCCATCAGGGATCAAACCTGCAACCTAGATATATGCCCTGACCGGGAATCAAACTGGCAACCTTTCGGTGCATGGAATGACACTCCAGCCAACTGAGCCACAGTGGCCAGGGCTTGAATTACTTTTCTTTTTTCTTTTTTTTTTTATATCCTCACCCGAGAACATTTTTGCATTTATCTTCAGATAGAGAGGGAGGAAGAGAGAGAGAGAGAGAAACATCAATGTGAGAGAGACACATTGACTGGGTACCACCCACATGACCCCAGCTGGGGCTGGGGACAAACTGCAACCGAGGTTCTTTCCCTTAGTGGGAATTGAACCCGGGACTCTGGTCCGCTGGCTGACGCTCTTAACTGCTGAGCTAAACCAGACAGGGCTTGAACTACTTTTCTATTACTGAAATGTAATGATTACTTTTTTGTTTGTTTGTTTTGTCCATTTTTTGTTCAGGTAGAGTGGGAGGGAGAGAAAGAGAGAGAAACATCGACATGAAAGGGACACATCGAGTGGTTGCCACCCGCACAACCCAGCCAGGGCCGAGGACAAACTGCAACTGAGGTACGCGCCCTTAGTGGGAACTGAACCCAGATCTCTTTGGACCACGGGCCGACGCTCTAACCGCTGAGCCAAACCAGCCAGGGCATAATGCTGACTTTCTTTGTGTGCTTTGTTCATATTAAAAATACCTTAACAGCCCTGGCCGGTTTGGCTCAGCGGTTAGAGCGTCGGCCTGCCGTCCGGAGAGACCCAGGTTCAGTTCCCGCTAAGGGCACGTACTTCGGTTGCAGTTTGTCCCCGGCCCTGGTTGGTCGTGTGGGTCGCAGCCACTCGATGTGTCCCTTCGCGTCGATGTTTCTCTTTCTCTCTCTCCCTCCCACTCTATCTGTACAAAAAATGGAAAAATATCCTCAGGTGAGGATTAAAAAATAAATAAATAAATAAATAAATAAATAAATAAATAAATAAATAAATAAAAATACCTTAACAGCGACATCTGAGATGGAACTGAGGAAATAAGTTTATGTCAGACTTAACAAAAGATCTTTATTTAGTGTTTCTGAATCCCTTTAATAACCTACATTCTAATTAGATTCTGTTGTCATTGTGTTTGTTCTAGAATGTGACCTTCAGCCTGCCACCTAATGCAAAAGTATTAAATACCAGCTCCTGTGGTAAAGAGAATGCTTCTAACCCCAGTCTCGTGATTGCTTTTGGAGGAGGACATACACTGAACCTCACTTTTGCAAGAAATGCAACTCGTTACAGTGTTCAGTTGATGAGTTTTGTTTATGACTTGTCAGACACACAGATTTTCCCCAGTGCAATTTCCAATGGTAAGAACAAAAATTGACCAATTATGAAATAAAGAAAATTGTGTTGGGGTAATATCTAAAATTACTTTTAACTAAGTATTTTGGGTAATTAAGATTTAATTCTTTTTAACTATAGAAACCAAGTCTGATGAATCGATAACTGACATCATGGCAGACATAAATAAAAAATACAGATGTGTGAGCAGCAACCAGATCCACATGAAGAATGTAACTGTCACTTTCCATAATGCCACCATCCAGGCATACCTTTCAAATGATAGCTTCAGCAAGGAAGGTAAGACACTGCCATTGGCCCTAATGTCGTTGACCCTGATTACACTGAATGCAGGCACAGCTTTGTGCCCTGGTGCCTGAGGGAATTATGTGTGAATGAGCATCTGTATAACTGGGAACAGAGCAGGCAGCTTCTGTCTAAGGAGAGCTGTCCACCAAACCTTTTTTTTCTCTTTAGAGATGACCTCTTTAGATTAAAATGGACAAATATTGATTTTTAAAAAAAATGGTAAAAAGACAAAGCAATTAAAACCCTCCCTGGGTCTCCCCTTATTAGAGCTAATGAGGTCCAGGGTCAGAGGATCTATTCTAATTCAAGCCAGCTATTTTTACACAGAGACCTAGTCATACCTCAGTCCAACTCGGGCAGACCCAGGGGCAGAGGTGGAAGGACCAGGAGTGCCTTTCTGAGGGATCACGGACCACCACCCCATGTTCCTGCCAACCCAGCTCCACTGGTGTGCCCTGGAGTCAAACAAATGGCTCCAAGCTCCTTCCCAGCTCCATGGTTTTGGCTAAGATAGTCAACCTCTCTTTTCCTTCACTTGTAAAATAAGAATAATAACCTGTTTTAGGAGGTTGTTAGGATTAAAAAGGAAATTTATGTAAAGTGCTTATCTCAGTGGCTGGCACAGAGTAAGTAGTTAGTAGGCTGTTACTATACTGTGACTTAAGAAGATTCTCTTCCCCAAATTCTGCTAGTCAACTCACAGATTACTGTCATTTTCCTGCAGGATGAGTGGTTGAGTGCCTTGGGGAAGTTGTCTCTGTCTGCCAGAGGATGAGTTAAAGACAGCACCTCCTTCTGGTCTTTTTTTTTATTATTCATTGTTTTGAGAGAGAGGAAGGGAAAGGGAGAGAGAGAGATTGAAATGAAACATCAATGAGAGAGAATATCGATTAGCTGCCTCCTGCATGCTCCTTATTGGGAATTGGGCCCACAACCTGGGCATGTGCCCTGACTGGGGATAGAGCCGGTGACCTCTTGGTGCATGGGTCAGTGAATAACCACTGAGCCACACCATCCAGGCTCCTTCTGGTCTTTTTATTGAATTTATTGGGGTGACATTGGCTAATAAAATTATATATATTTCAGGTGTACAATTCTATGATACATTATCTGTATATTATATTGTGTGTTCACCACCCCAAGTCAAGCCTTCTTTCATCATTTATTCTTCATTTACCCTCTTCTACCTACTCCCACCCTCCCCCCTTTCCAAAACTCTGGTAATCACTATATTGTTTGTGTGTGAGGTTTTTGTTTTTGCTTAATCCTTTCACCTTTTTTTCCCAGTCCCCCAACCCCTCCTAGTCTTTAGACCTTCCTCTACTGTGGGAACTTGGATTTGCTTTGTTTCCCAGTAGTCCTCCTTGAAGGCTGAGTGACTGTTGGAGAGTGGTTAATTTGCGCCATCACCAGAGCTGATCAGCAGAATAAACTGATCAGCCCTTTTGTGTGCAGCTTGTTATAGTCCTCAGAGACATGGGTGCTTGCAGCAGGCTGGCAAACTGGCCTTCAGGCCTGGTCCAACCTGCCTCTGGTTTCTCTATAGCCAGTAAGCTAAGAATAGTTTGTATGCTTACAAATTTAAGGTTAAAATAAATCAAAAGAATATTTCATGACACATGAAAATTCTTTGGAGTTCAGCATTCAATGCCCATAAACTAAAATGTTATTGGAACATAGCCATGATCATTCACTCACCTATTTATGTAGCTGCTTTCATGTTCATGGTGGCAGAGTTGAGTTGGAACAGACATCCCACAGCCACGAAGTCTAAAATGTTTGGTATCTTCCCATTATAGAGAAAATTAGCTGACCCCTGACCTAATGGGAAGAATTTTAGTGACAGCTAGGACTAAAAGAAACCAAGTGTAACCGGGAGAAATAAACTACTAGCAATTGTGCAGGGCTTAAAGGTAGAGATCAGTATGAGCTGGAGCAGCTGGAGATTCTGAAAGAAATAGGCTTGACTTTTCCACCGTGCAGCCTCTTCTCAGACTGGGCCTGGAGGGCTCGGTAAGCATGAATCTTCACCAAGAAGAGCTGATGGAATTCGAGGACTTTTCCTCTCCGGTTGGGGTGAGCAGTACTTGAAGGCAGCAGGTCCAGGTGTGTGCACACTAACATATACCTCCTCAGGCATATGAACTTTCGTCAGACAGTGGCTATCCCAGTGGGGGTTAGATCAACAAGCTAAATACTTGAAGTTATTTGTGTTCACAATTATAAATCTCCCAACTACCTAGGTTTCATAGCTAGCTGAACACAGCTGGGTTTCATCAGTCTTCTGGCTCAAGTCTTGAGCAGAAAAAGGGAAAACCAAAAATTGTCAGAAGGTCTTAGGAAATGACAGCATCTCTGGCTTACTGTCTGTGTAGTCACTTCACTATACCTGGACCGGAATGTGTCGTAGACACAGCTCTTCACCTTTACATCTTGTTTTCTTTAGCTTCAAAAGCTTCTGAACAAAGAGATGACTGGGCCTCCGCTATCTGGGCGCCCCAGTGCAGTGCTTTGAAGTGAGGTGCCATGCCTCTGGCGTTCGCAGGGCTCCTACCATTTCTAGTGTAAGAACAGATGTGACAGTAGAGAGATTAATTTTGTTTTTAGGTTAATTAACTGCTTTGTTGTATAAACATACTTTATTTTTTTAGAACATTTTTACGTTCAAAACAAAATTGAATGGAGCCGTGGCTGGTGTGGCTTGATTGTGTCATCCCATGTACCAAAAGGTTGCCCGTTTGATTCCCAGACAGGGCACATTCCTGGGTTGTGGGCTTGATCCCCAGGAGGGGATCTGCAGGAGGCAGCAGTTTCTGTTCTCTCACATCAGTGTTTCTCTCTCTCCACCCTTCCTCTCTCTCTAAAATCAATAAAAACTTTTTTTTTTTTGATTGAATGGAAAGTTCAGAGATTTCCCACAGACCCCCCATCCCCACACATGGACATTCTCCCCACTGTCAACATTCTGCATTTTAATTACTATTCTCATGGAGGACGTATGCATATGATTCCAAGTGGAAAAGGTATAAATGTGAGGCTGTCCTGACGCCTGAACCCCAGCCAATATCCCTTTCCCCAGAGGCATGCTCGTGTCCTACATAGGGTTACCTGGGGCTTGGCCATCCAACATAGGTCCTTGGTTATTTCAAGCTCATGGGTGCTACCCACTGTTTCATCAGTTTGTTGGTCAGAAGTGAGGTTACTGAGCTCACTCTCACTTGTGGGACAAGTCTAAGACACCCTACACACCTTCCCATGTTTTATGGTTATCTTCATCAAAGCTTGATTCAATTTTGTTAAATCCACCTGTGCCGATATGTAATTTAGAAGGGAAATCTTACTTTTTCAATGATACTAGAGCATTCTCTTAGTAAATTCTACTGGGAAAAGGAAGGTTAAGAAGCATGGGTGAGCCCTGGCCGGTTTGGCTCAGCGGTTAGAGCGTCGGCCTGCGGTCCGTAAAGACCCGGGTTCGGTTCCCGCTAAGGGCACGTACCTCGGTTGCAGTTTGTCCCCGGCCCTGGTTGGTCGTGCGGGTGGCAGCCACTCGATGTGTCCCTTTCACATCGATGTTTCCCTCTCTCTCTCTTCCTCTCTCTCCCTCCTACTCTGTCTGTACAAAAAATGGAAAAATGTCCTCGGATGAGGATTAAAAAAAAAAAAAAAAAAAAGAAGCATGGGTGAAGTCACGGGTACACCTGCATACTCTTCACTGGAAATGAAGGTGTCCCCATGGGGCTTGTGGAAGTCCTCTCATTATCGTATCACATCTTCTGCAAGCGATCCCTTATCAGTCTAGTGCTAAGAAACAGGAAGTCAGCAAAAACAAAACAAAACACCGTGACTTGTTAGGAGCCCTTTTTAAGGCTTCTTTGCTCACACTTATGCTGCTTCACTTGAGAGCTGCTCCTAACCCACCTCTTACAGCCATGACTTCTTGCTTCACCCACTGTTCTGTGGGGTTTGGACCCCCAGTGGCCTTGGTCTTAGGACCAGCGGGTAGCTGCTCAGAGTGGAGATGCTAGATGTGGAGAAGTTGAGGCCTCTGGATCTCAAATGTGAGCTGATGCTCCATAAGGAAGTGTCTACACTGTATAACAATATAGTAATTGATAATGTGATGAATCTTTTTTCTTAGATTTATTTTTCCAATTAGACTTGACATACAATATTATACTAGCTTCAGGTCTACAACATAGTAGTAAGATGTTTTATATACCTTGTGAAGTTGATCTGAATTGTGTTTTTTTTTTTTATTAATTTGTTTTTGTTACAGATGTTTCTCCTTTTTCCCCCATTGACACTCTCTTCTCCATCCCCCCTCCCCGCCCCTTCCCCAGCTTTGTTGTCTATGTCCATTGGTATGCATGCATGCATATAAGTTTTGTGGATTATCTTTCCTCCCCAACAACCCCTCTTCTGGAGTTTGTCAGTCAGTACCCTACCTCTATGTCTCTGGGTCATTTTGTTCATCGGTTTGTTTTGTTCATTATATTCCACAAATAAGTGAGATTATGTGATATTTGTCTTTCTCTGCTTGGCTTATTTTCACTTAGCATAATACTCTCCAGGTCCCTCCGTGTCATCTCAAAGGATAAGAGATCAATCTTTCTTTTTTTTTTTTTTTTTTTTTTTTTTTTAAATCCTCACCTGAGGACATTTTTCCATCTTTTGTTCAGGTAGAATGGGAGGGAGAGAGAGAACCAGAGAGAGAGAGAGAGACATCGATGTGAAAGGAACACATCGAGTGGCTGCCACCCGCACGACTGACCAGAGCCGGGGACAAACTGCAACCGAGGTACATGCCCCTAGCGGGAACCGAACCCGGGTCTCTCAGGACCGCAGGCCGATGCTTTAACCGCTGAGCCAAACCGGCCAGGGCGAGATCAATCTTTCTTAACAGCTGCACAGTATTCCACTGTGTGCGTGTACCAAAGCTTTTTTATCCACTCATTTACTGATGAACCCTTGGGTTGTTTCCAGATCTTAGC